GGCAGGATTTTTTTTTTAAAGACAAAGAATGATTTTTCTTTTTTATATGAGAAAACTACTACAAAATTGTCTTTTTTTTTTTTTTTTTGAGACAGAGTCTCACTCTGTTGCCCAAGCTAGAGTGAGTGCTGGGCGTCAGCCTAGCTCACAGCAACCTCAAACTCCTGGGCTCAAGCATCCTCCTGCCTCAGCCTCCCAGTAGCTGGGACTACAGGCATGCGTCACCATGCCCCGCTAATTTTTTCTTATTATATTAGTTGGCAATTAATTTATTTCTTTTTATAGTAGAGACGGGTCTGCTCTTGCTCAGGCTGTGTTTGAACTCCTGACCTCGACAATCCGCCCGCCTCGGCCCCCAGGTGCTAGGATTACAGCGTGAGCACCGCGCCCAGCCTAAATTGTCTATTCTTGATGACCCAGATATACTTGTACGTTATTTTGAAAGGAATAATACATGCTAAGTGGTATTTGAGTTTGTTATAAACAGAACAAAAAGGCAGTCCATGGAACGGGAGAAGGTATTTGTAAATCACATACCTGTCAAAAGATTGAAATCCAGAGGGTATTGAGAACTCCCTAAAACTCAGCAACAAAAAGACAAAGACGCAGTTATTTATTTTATCTACATAGACTGGTGGAGTGCTGTAGTGAGAGGGGAAAGTGGCAGGACAAGTTCAGCCTGTAACTGTGAACAACAGAGTGAGCTAACTCACTACCTTCGGACCAGCCAAGTCCCAGGTTAAAACTGCAAAAGAGATTTCTCTGAAGAAGATGCACAGATGGCCAATAAACACGTGCAGAGATGTCAGTGTCACTAGTCATCAGGGAGATGCAAATCAGAACCACGGTGAGATGCCGCCTCAGCCATTGGGACGGCCACTGTAAAAGCGAGGGAAGTAGTGTTGGTGAGGGTGTGGAGAAGCCGGGGCCCAGTGTGCTGTTGATGGGAGTGCAAAATGGTGCAGCCGCATGGAAGACAGTGTGATCGTTCCTCAAACACTAGAAACGGGAGTACCGTGCGATCCAGCAGTCTCTCTTCTGGGTATGTGCCCAAGAGAACTGAGAGCAGGTGTCGAGGAGATGTTTGCACGCCCAAGGTCATAGCAGCACCTTTCACCACAGCCGAAAGGTAGAAGCGGCCCAGGTATCTGACGGATGAATGGACAGACAACATGTAGTATCTGTGCAGTGGAATAACGTTCAGCCTTAAAGAGGAACTCCTGACACGTGCTAATAAACCAGGGATTGACCCTGAGGACATCATTCTCAGTGAAGTAAGCCAGTCACTCAGGACCGCGCTGTCTGATTTCACTTGCGGGAGGTCCCTGAGCATTCAGAATCACAGACAGAAAACAGAGTGGCTGCCAGGGCCTGGGGAGGGGTGGAACATTGTGTCTAACGGGGCAGAGTGTCAGTTTTATAAGATGAGCAAGTCTTGGAGAGGGATGATAATGGTGATGGTCACTCAGCAGTGTGAATGTGCTCAATGCTACTGAGCTACACACTGAAAAATGGTTTAAATGGTAAAGTTTATGTCATGTTTATTTTTACCACAATAAAAAAAATTGAAAGAAAAATAGGCCTTCTGGAAAAGTATCTTTGGTGCATTTATTTATCTGTTAAATGGAGGGAGTGGCCAGGTAGACTTCAGCCCCCGCCCCATGCCAGGCGCTGTCTGGGGAGGCCGCTGTTGGTGTCGGGCACCACGCTTGCCTGTCGCTGGCTGGTTTTTATGCTCGTAGCGTGTAGATGCTCTGAGTCTTTCCTGTTCCTCCCATTCTCTCTCCAGCGCGTTAAGCACCCTCAGCGGGCGTTCAGTAGCACTTGCTTGGTGGGCGAGTGTCTGACACAGGCTCGCGCAGACCTCAGGCGCCTGGCGGAGGGTGCGGGCAATGGTGTGTGGCCCTCCCCACGCCCGCGGCCCCTGGGCCTCCACTTCAGTTTCTCAGAGGCAGCGACTGTTAGGCTTCTTGGTTACTTTTTCCAGTAACTTGCTATATATTTGCAATATTTCTTTTTTTCCCCCACTAGACACCTATTTAACTTACTGGATTTTTAAAATAACCTTGATATCAGTGGCTCATTCTTTTTGTTCAAGTACACTGTGCAGAAAGTGGGGCATAAACCAGACACGCAGCTCCTCACAGATGTGATGAGCACCGAGATCAAGAATCAGAACAGTCCTTTGCCCAGCCCGTGGGGCAAGGACGTGTTTAGGCGCAGGTGTCTGCCTCTGCCTCGGGGTGCGCTCTGCCTGACCTGCCGTTGCTCCTGGGCCCTGCGGCCACAGCCTCAGCCGGCGTCGGTGTCCACGGCCACCGTCCTCGAGGCAGCGCCGCCCGAGCCGCCCCGACTCGCTGGCGGTCCTGCTGCACTCCCTGCACCCCTGTCCTTGCTGGTGCCCCGCCGTGGCCTGGCCCGGCTCCTCTGAGAGCCGAGAGCTCCGTGGACTCTGCCCCTCGGCCAGGCTTAACCCCTGCACCCGCAGCGTGTTGCTTTGTGTCTTGGTGTTTTCTGGAGCATCCGGAGCCTCAGTTTCCTCACTGGTCAGATGAGTGGGCTACTGGCTCCCGTGAGAGTTTGTTCACAGTGTCATGAGATGACGTGTGGATGCAGACACCTGGGTCCACACTGCTGCTTGGGGTGACCTGGAACTTCAGAGACTTGGTAAGAGTCTGCTTTTCCATAGGAAACACTGATGTTCTCTTTTTAAGATTTGTTTGTTTGTTTTCCCTGAAATGACAGCCAGCTGTCAAAGCGCAGTGTGATGTGTGTTCTGTGATAGACTGAGAACAGCCACCTCTTCTCCCCACAGCGCTGCCAACTCCTGCCCATCCAGCCCCCGGGGAGCAGGGTCTTCAGGGTACAAAATGGGCCGTGTGATACCATCTGACCTCAATTTAATGGCTGAAAACTCGCAGCCAGAGAATGAAAAGGAAGCTTCCGGTGGAGACAGCCCCAAGGTAAGTGTTCTGTGATGGTGGAACTGTGGCTAGGCTGTCCTCAGCGGGTCCAGCAGCAGCCCGTCTGGGCCCTTGGAGGGGGCGGGTTGTGGTGATCCAGCGGGCGCAGTGGGTGTCCCTGCGGGTGCAGGTGGGTCGTGCTGTTGAGCGTGTTCTTGGTGTTGGGTTCCGCTCACGCATCTTTCAGTCACTCCGCACGCAGCCAAAGCTTCCCCGGGGGTAGCCGTAGGCCCAGGTGCTGAGAGCTGAGCTGACAGCGGACGACGAGAGAACGTCTTGGTCCTCAGGGAGCTCACACGCGTTCGTGTCCCAGGAAACATCGACGGCGCTTACCAGCACACTCTCGAGGTCTGAAGGCCACGCAGACACACAGCTTTTGGGAGGACACCTCCGTCCTCTGGTGGTTGCACTCTGGCCCTGTGTGTTTTTATTCTCTGACTGGGTCGTTTCCCTTGGGACTTGGTCCAAGGGAAGTGGACAAGAGTTTATGTGAAACAGGAGATCAGAGCAGCCCGAGTGCCCCGCAGGGAACAACTGGTGGGGACCAGAGTACGGCGTGTTTACTTACAGGAGGGCACCCTTGTCTGGATGCTGAGCGGGAAAGAGAGAGTAGAGCCGTGCGTGGCAGTGCTCTGCGTGTTTCTAACACGTTCATCCACGCAGAGCACGGCACAGCAGTGTCCGCGCTGGGCCTGCAGCAGGTACAGGGCTGCATTCTGTGCAACTCCGCTTTTGTCAGGTTTGAAATCGGGCAGATCTAAATTGTGTTGTTTCAGGGTGCAGTTCAGGGGTAGAACTGCTAATAAATCATAGCAAGATTGTGATTGCTGTAAAAGTTCAGGACTCATGGCAGCCCCTCTGAGAGGTAGGGGCGTGACCGAGAGCATCTGCGATGCAGGCTGCCTTCTGTCTCGGCTGCTGCGCTAATGCTCAGCTTACAAAATTGGTTCAGCCCACACGGATGTCTTTGAACTTCTCTATGTTACGTATTTTTCTTTTTGAAAAGTTTTTAGATACCCATAAACAAAAGGTCACCAGGAAATACAGCAACAGCATACACACAGTGATGAAGGCTTTGTTAGCTGTGTAAATGAAGGAATGAAACGGGGTGTTGTGGCACCTGTCGTCCCAGTTACTGGGGAGGCCGAGGCAGGAGGATCGCTCATGCCCAGTGGCTGGTGGTTACAGTGAGCTGTGATCAGACCATGGCAACTCCAGCCTGGGCGACAGAGTGAGACCCTGTCACTTGGAAAAAAAAAAAAGTGGGGATGAGGGGGGATCTTCTGGGTGCTGGATTATAGGCGATTGAGTCTTTCTGTTTAAAGAATAACAACAAACGCCCCAGTGCCCACCACTAGCTTTCAGCGCTAAGCACACGGCTCGTGCTGGCAGGCACCTGTGCAAGAAGCTACTCCCGCCCCAATGCCCTGGTGCGGCTGACGTCCTGGCCATTGTCTGTCAGCCGGCCTGTTGTTTTACTTTTTGTGTCATTTTTTTTTTTGTCTCGCTGTGTTGCTGAGGCTGGCATCAAACTCCTGGCCTCAAGTCATTCTTCCACCTCGGCCTCCCAGAGTGCTGGGATTACAGGCATGAGCCACCACCCCTGACCTTTTACTTCTATAATTGTTCAATTTAAAACTGGTTATAAATAGTATCATTTTGGATGTATTCTTTTACAGATTAGCTCTTTTCATTCAGCATCGTGTTTTGCTACTCATCCATGCTCATGTGTGTGTTTCCCAGAAGTCCAGGAGCAGGGGTGGCCCCCTCTCTGCCCAGGGGGTTGGTTGTGCTGCTGTGTGTGTGTTTTGAGCTGCCACGGGGGCTCAAACCACCCGTGGCCTTGAACAAGCCGGACCAGGACTCCAGCTCACTGGGGTGTGCGTGGTAGAACAGCATATGCCCGTGACGCCGCTGGCCTGGGCCCTGGTTTGAGCTAGCTCACACTCAGCTGTGTGATAAGGGGCCGTGTGAGGGCTCCTCGGTGGAGGGGCGTTGGGTGGTCCTGTGGCTTTGGGCACTCTGGCCGGCTCCTGGTGCCTGGGAAGCTGCGCCTGGCAGGGTGTGCTGTTTGCTCTGCCCCCGTCAGCTCTGGCCGAGCCAGCGCCCCACCCCCACCCCGTCACCCCTGGGGGACACAGCAGGGCCGTGCTCCACCAAGGCCGAGCAGCAGCTTTCCTTGGTTTTTCTTTTTCATTTGTGAGGTTTGGGTTTTCTCCTTAAGTAATTTTTTTGGTGTTCTTTTTATACTGATCTGTGCTTTGCCATTTGTTTCCTTCAAGTTTTCAAATTATATTACTTTTATAGTGAGGAAAGTGAAGTATTATCAGAGAAACACTTAAAAACACCACAAATCCCTAATTTCAGTAAATTTAGTAAAAAATTACAATAACTTCAATACTCTCATTTTTTTTAAATACAGGATGATTCGAAGCCGCCTTACTCCTATGCACAATTAATAGTACAAGCGATCACGATGGCTCCTGATAAACAGCTCACCCTAAACGGAATCTATACGCATATCACTAAAAATTACCCGTACTACAGGACTGCGGACAAGGGCTGGCAGGTAAATCGTTTCGGTTTGTTACCGGGTGTTGTTGCGTATCTGATAGAGGCTCCTCGATGCTGAGGCAGATCAAGGGCTGCTTTATTCCGGCCAGGCGCAGGCTGAGAGGGTAGAAGGCGATGAGGGAGAGGAGGGTACTGGAGGCCTGTGTTGCCCGGCTCTGTCTGAGCCCCGTGCAGCACAGAGGGAAGGATGGTTCTGGAAGAAAACCTAAACTTAACGTTTTCACATTCCACATATTTGTGGAAATCAACGTGTCTGCGTGGGGTTCGCAAAGCATGCATTTTTTGTTTTTCTTTGACCAGTGCAGTTTATTTCACCAATCAAAAACACGGGAGGGGTCAGGCCTTTAGCCCAGGCTTTACTCTGGCTTCCCCCCCGCCCTCCACGCCTGCTCCAGCTGGTGGGCGCCCGGGAACCGTCTGCCCAGGGACACGTTTTTCAGAAGATGTCTCCTCCAGTCGGTCGGCGTGTAAAGCAGATGGTTGTGGCGCAGCCCTGGGTTGTCCCAGAGGGCACTTTGAAATCAGTGTCAGATACTCATTCCTGCTGGTCGACTCATGCACCAGTGATCTTTAATCTTCTGCACTGTGTAGGTTTTTCTGTTTCTGTCTGTGTGGCCATTTACTGGATATACAGTAGAACCTCACTAATTGAAACAATTTGGGAAAGGGTAAGTTTGAAATACAGAATATTAAAAATGTAACAAAAGAGAGAAGAGACATATATATGCATGTGACTTTTGAATCCATTAAATAACCAGGAATGGCTACAGAATTCTTTGAGGCTTTGGTCTCATGAGTAAATGGTCCTTTAAAAAACATGTCTGTGGAACACTGTAGCCCAGTGACGTGGCGGAGGGGCAGACTGTTTTCTGTTTATTGAAGGGAAAAAAAGTTCTGGCTGCAGATGTGTAAACATGCTATAGTAAGAGTAGTCTACCAACCAAATATTTGACATTTCCTTTGTAAGGGGATCAGGGTCTTTGGTGGTGGAAGGTGCAAAGTAAGACCCGCCTCCACTCTTGCCCACCTGGCCGCCCACCTCGTCCCCGCCCCTTAATAGCAAGGGGGTGTTTCTTCGTTGACTGTTAGGAAAACATGGATTTGGAGAACAGTTCCGTATCTAGCTGCATGTCAGGGTCTCTTCACACACTGCATAGTAATGCAGTAATTCAGGCCATATTTACCCTATTTTAATCTTTAAAAGTGAGGTTGTACTTAAAATATAAAACGCTAAAAAAAAAAAAAAAAACAGAACCAGACAGTAACTTATCCGTGTTGTGGTGAGCACAGCTTTGTCCAGGAGAGAAACTCCACGTGGCGTGTGGCCTGCTGTGCAGGCTGGGAGGGTCTCTGCGGGCGTGAGTGCCGCTGCATGCAGGATTCTGATGACTTGAAACACCAGTTCCCTGGGGCCTTTGGGGAATGAATGTTTCTAAAAAGCTTGATTAGACTTTAATCTGTTTCTCTTAGGTTGTATTTATTTAAGAAGCACTTGGAAGCACCACAGGTTTTCTTGCTGGAGTGGGTGGAGGGGTAAAGGCTGGCCCTGGCTTGGTCTCTGGGGCCTGAGTCAGGAAGTCAGAATGGGCCTTTCAGGGAGTGGAGCTCCCTGGGCCAGGGTTCCCCGGACCACGACTGGGAGGCGAGGACCCCAGCCCGCACCCCGTGAGCGCACCGATTTCTGCCCGTGTGCAGATTTGACTTCACAGCCCACTTAGGGCGTAAATTACAAACTTAACTACAAATTAAGCACCCTCTCACTTGAGCTGTTATTACACTGGTTTTATGGAGACGTTTTCTTTTCTGTGTAGATGAGGGTCCGTCAGGATCGCTGTGCATGTCTTGCCTGAGTAAGGCTGTTCCCGGGACCTTTCACGCCTCCGGGTCCCAGATAGTTTGGCAGGAGTGGGCCCCCACTCCAGGCCCTGTAGTTCGGCGCATGCGCGCCACGCTCTTTCCACCCTCAGCCGAGCATCCACTGTTGGAGCCTGACCCGCACTGGCTCCTGCCAGAAGACTCTCTGAGCTGCCCCTCCCGGTGACTGCACCCACAGCCCCCACGTGTCAGGCCTTACGTTGACTTCTTACCTCGTGGCTTAAAACAAACAGCCTTTCCAATGCGATCCCCCCATTTCTTTCTTTTTTTCTGAGACAAAGTCTCACTCTGTTGCCCAGGCTGGAGTGCTGTGGCGTCAGCCTAGCTCACAGCAACCTCCAACTCCTGACCTTAAGCGATCCTCCTACCTCGGCCTCCCAGAGTGCTAGAGTTACAGGCGTGAGCCACCGAGCCCGGTCTATACCCTCATTTCTTAAAAGAACCACATTCCTCTTCTTTTGAGAGAGAAATAAAACTGTCAGCAAATAGCCCCCTTAAAAAATGTGAATGTCCAGCTTGTACCTGCTCTCTCCGGCGGGATGTGGACAGGCGCTCGAGTCTCCTGTCAAGCACCAGTTTCCGAGAGGATGTGTGTGAAGACAACCCTGTGCCGTTCGGGGCCCTCGCTGGAGTCTGCAGCTGCCTTGCAGACTCGGTCTGGGTAGTTTGCGTTGTCTGCCCACGGCACAGCTTTTCGGTTAATCTGCAGAGAGCATTCTAGGATAAAACAAGGTGGTCTGCATAACCCTCTTGAAAAGGTGGCATATTTCTTTCCTTTGGTTGCATTTTTCTGCCAGAATGATTTTTTATGATTTTACAGTTTTATCCAGCCTAGAATTAATCATATGACTATGAAAAGTTTGAAAAGGCTGGGCTCTCCCTCCAGAGGGACCAGAGCTGGTTTCTTTTTACAGCATGGGACAGGCTCCCCACTCACCCTCAGCCCCGCCTTCTGGAAGCGTTTGACGCGCCCTCCGCAAGTCCTGACTGTGCTGTGCACATGTGGAGCGTGCCCTGCCAGCCAGCATCTGACAGAAGCGGAAAGTCAAGAGAGCTGGTCCGCTCTGGAAGGCGGCTGCCGGCAGGGGGGCGGGGACGTGCTCGGGAAGGGGAGGGGTTGCTCGGTGTTGCATGTCCTTTTCCTCATATTTGGCATGAAAGAATAACAACCCACTTTTTTGAATGCTATACAACAATTTCTGAATCATTAGAGTCCAGTCAATGTGGTTTTATTTTATTTTTGAGACAGAGTCTTACTCTGTTGTCCCAGCTAGAGTGCCGTGACGTCAGCCCAGCTCACACCAACCTCAGACTCCTGGGCTCAAGTGATCCTCCTGCCTCAGCCTCCCAAGTAGCTGGGACTACAGGCATGAGCCACCATGCCCGGCTAATTTTTTCTATATATTTTTAGTTGTCTAGCTGATTTCTTCTTCTTTTTTTTTTTTTTTTTTGGTAAAGTAGAGACGGGGTCTTGCTCTTGCTCAGGCTGCTCTTGAACTCCTGAGCTCAAACCATCCGCCTGCCTTGGTCTCCCAGATTGAGGTTTTAATATATGTAGCAGCACAACGAAGGAACATCCATCCTGTGTTTGATCAAATTATTAAGGCCTTAAATTACCTTAGAAATAGTTACTTCATTTTGTTTTTGTCACGTTAACTATGTTTTTGGACGGTGCAATAAAAGACCCTCATTCCTTTCCCGTGTCTTCTGAAGTCTGGTTGGCTGCAGAATCACAAGTAACTTGTTACAAATTTTGCCTCGTTTGCCCACAGGACTGCCGTTAAGGGGCGCAGGTTAGAGCAGAGAGGAGGTTGGAACCCACTGTGTTGGGGCAGACCGGGTTCTGTTATGGTTCAGAACAGAAATAGCAACTCCCTGATTCCAGGATTCATTTCCTGTCTCGTGAGTGATGTTGGTGTAACGAGCAGCGTTCGTGGTCAGGTCTTTCGTCCAGGGATGAAAGCCTGGGTCCCTAAGCAGCCTTTTCTGCTCCCGGATTCCCACTGCGCCGACTCCTCACGTCCGTCAGCGCAGCTGCCCCGGCGCTGGGGACTGACACGCTGTGTGTAACGGCTCTCTGAGTTCCTGCGGGGGACCGGGGCCCTTGGGAGGCATCAGCAGGGACGGCCCTGTTCACGGGTGGAGAGTTTCACGTCACCCATCCAGGTCTGCCTTTCTTAATCCACGGTCTTGGAATCTACCTTCTCCTCCAAACTTTAAAAAGTTTGAGTGCAGTTGCCAAAGGTTGACCTTCGTTGTCCCTGACGGGGCACCAGTGACGGTTGCAGCTGGTTTTCTGGAGGAGTTGGTGGAGAGGTCGGGGATTGGGTAAACCCAGGGATGAAGCACCATAGCAGCTACCTGTGGTTGAAATGTTTTATGTCTCATCTAGTTTCCCAGATCACAGCCTCTCTTGCCTCCCTGTGTGGGCCATGAGGTGACCACACTCACAGGGGTCAGGCGCTATGTCATGGCCTGTGACTCCTGTGGTCCCTGACCAGCCCCAGATTGGCTGTGAAGTGTCACCTGTGTTTGGCTTCTTCACCACCTTGACAATTCGGAATTTCAGGCGTGGCTTGCAATTCTATGAGACAGTCACCTGGGAAATTTAGAAATGATTTTTGGATAGCCTCAAATTTCAAGTTATTACTTTAATACTTTAATTCTAAATTTATACATTAGTATAAACTCATGAGGTATCCGTATGAGTCTGTGACTTCCATCTAGCTCCGCCCCGAACGCCGCGGCCCGAATCGGGTCATGGGGCGTCTTCGGACATCCGTCAGCCCTTGGAAAGGGCGATGGGCAAGCAGTCGAGAGGGGAGTTCTCTCTTTATACCTTACGAAATTATCCTGAGGATCAATTATAACTGTGTACTGTTACCGAAGACAGTGTCTATAATGCAACTTTTGCTCATTTTTCTCTCTTGCTGGCTCGCCACGTACTTCATACTGGATTAGTTTGCTTTAAATGGCATGGCAGGTTCTGTAAGGCGATTCTGTGCGAAACAGTGTTTTACGGGAGGCTTCCGTCGGCTCTGTGTCTTCACACAGGGAGAGGCTGGCGTGAGGTCGCTGGCCCCACCTGGAGAGCTGCAGTGACAGCAGGAGCGGTCGGGGCGCTGGTCTCCCGCCCTGCGGGGAGTGGCCTCTGCGCAGAGCCTGGCCACCCTGGCCGCCTCCCAGGGCGCCGACCTGCTAACCGGCTGCGTCCTCTCCTCCCCAGGCGCCGCGGGGGGAAGGCTCACAGCGCAGCGGCTGCTTCACTCTGAGGTTCTCGCGAGGGGAAGAGGCGGCTCCTTCCGCCAGCGCCGCCCTTAGCCTCGCGCTCGGGCTCTGCGGGGGCTGGACGTTTGGGTCTCGGCTCTGCAGGGCACGTTTTTATTTCTTAGCAAAGAAATATATGAATTCTACGTATTTTTTTATGTTTCATAGAACTCAATTCGCCACAATCTCTCTCTGAATCGTTATTTCATCAAAGTACCACGCTCCCAGGAAGAACCAGGCAAAGGCTCCTTCTGGAGGATAGATCCTGCCTCTGAAAGCAAATTAATAGAGCAGGCTTTTAGGAAAAGACGGCCTAGGGGCGTGCCTTGCTTTAGAACCCCTCTGGGACCGCTCTCTTCTAGGTAAGGAACAAAGGGGCACAAAAAGGCCTCATGAATGGTCAGTAAACTCACCCTCAATGTGTTGGTAAATTTTCCTTTTGAACCTGAAGGAACTGCCAGATGGCATTATGACTAATGTTGGGATGGGGGTTTGGAAAACAAGTGTCGGGCGCCACCCGTGTGTTCCCGTGTCGGGTGTCCAGACACGTGGACTGTCGGCAGAGCTCACTCACGCCCCACTCCCACGTGGTGGTTGTCGCATCACTGAGTTCATGGCGTGCCGTTAACACGACTGGATACCGCTTACCTGAGTCGGCAGTTGTGATGACGCCACGTTGATATTTTCGCTTCCTTTGGCATGCAGAAAGTTCCTTGGAACTACCTTTTAGCTGCTTAGACTCACGGTTGACTTACATACAGTGTTAATTTGCCTGGTTTTAAAATTACACATTTTTAGCTTCCTTAATCCTGTTTTTAGCCAAAGAAATGAGCATGACATAAGTCTGAAGCCCCCTTGAATTCTCCTACGGCTGTGGCCCGTGGCCCGTGGCCCGTGCTGGCGAGGGGCCCCTGTGGCTCTCCCACGGGCCGTGCAGGTTGCATGGAGTGCCCAGTGTAAGACTTGGGCAGCCACGGCAGGTTGGCAGGACACAGTGACACCCCGTTGCAAAGTACGCTGACTAGAATGAGAAGCACCTTGGGGGCGTCACTTGCGAGACTATAGTGTCGTCTTTTTTTGGTGCTGCAGGAGCGCCCCAGCCTCTCCCAACCACGCTGGAGTGCTGTCTGCTCACTCCAGCGGTGCCCAGACCCCCGAGAGCCTGTCGAGGGAAGGCTCACCAGCACCCCTGGAGCCTGAGCCTGGCGTCTCGCAGCCCAAACTCGCCGTCATCCAGGAAGCCCGGTTTGCCCAGAGCGCACCAGGTGAGACACCCCGCTCGAGTCGGTGCAGACGGGGCTCGGCACAGACGTAGCCGAACCTCCTGAAGAGGCCTGTGTCTTTGTACCTGTGTCTGATGCTTTCTCCGTAGTGCCGGCATGTCACTGTCTAAGCCTTGGGAAACTGGTAGCACAGTGAGTGTTCTTTAAATGACACCGTGTGTAGATGCCTGAAATGATTTAGAATTAACCTGTTGTTCAGTTGCTTTGTCTTTCAAAAAATCCGTGAAAAAGGCTCCCGCCCCAAGAGAAACATAGTCAGACGAACTAGACACTGATTGGAAGCAGTAACATGTCCATTTAATGAATAGTTGGACACTCTGCAGTTTACTTGCAAAGTCATAATGTGGAGTAATAAAACCGTATGCCTTGAGGAATTTTTTAAAAAAATGCAGTGCGGAAATGTGTCCAAACTAATTCTGTTATAGTTGAGAAAATGTGCATTTTGATCATTTGGGGTCTCAGCTGTTCTGGCCCAAAGCACCCCCTATGTCCTAGCAGCAGCCCCCGGCCAGAGAGCAGAGGTCAAGGGCACAGGCTCTGTCGTGGCCCAACTCTGCTCTTGCACTTCTGCTCCCTCCACCAGTGCAGGGTGGAGGTGTCGGTCCTCGGTGGGTGTGGCCCTGGCTTAGGCCCACAGGGCAGTTTCTCATAGCGTGCATTGACGTTTCCTTCCTCCTCCCTCCGGTAACTTCATTAAAGCAAAGAACTGAACACGACTTTAAAGGGCCGCACCTCCGTCATCTCTCCCAACTGATGTCTTCACTGAGAAACTGTGCAAGACATTTCCTCTTTCACGAAGAAAGGCCTGTGGAAAGAGGTGTTACCAGAAATCTAAACAGAGCAGAAATTGCATTAATAGCAGTTGAGTACAGGAAAAGAATTAAATGTGCCTATTAAAATACCGTAGTTCTCTCGTCATCTGTGACTTTGCCCTTGCGAGGTGAAGCGGGGCTGTGCTTTAAATCAGGCCCGGCCTGTTCTTCAGTGGGTGCGTGGGAACGTGGGGAGGCGAAGGACGGCGTGCCTCAGCGCTGTTGTCTCCTGTCCGCAGGGTCCCCGCTGTCCAGCCAGCCCGTCTTAATCGCCGTCCAGCGGCAGCTACCACAGGCGGTCAAGCCTGTCACCTACACCGTTGCAACCCCGGTGACCACCGCCACCTCCCAGCCACCCGTGGTGCAGACCGTTCACGTCGTCCACCAGATACCAGCGGTGTCAGTCACCAGCGTGGCTGGCCTGGCCCCAGCGAACACGTACACTGTCGCGGGACAGGCCGTGGTCACACAGGCGGCTGTGCTGGCCGCCCCTAAGGCCGAGCCACAAGAGAACGGAGATCACAGGGAAGCGAAAGGTGGGCCAGCGACAGGCAGCTCCCGTCAGCTTCGTGCTCCTAGAGACAGACCCACAAAGTTGCTCATCTTGGCCCGTTTTCTAATTTATTGTTGGTTCTAAAGACAGTCCCAGCTACTTGGGAGGCCGGGGCTGGAGGATGCCCGGAGCCCAGGAGTTGGAGGCTGCAGTGAGCTGTGGTGACACCACTGCACTCCAGCCAGGTGACAGAGTGAAACCCTGTCTCTAAAAAAAGACATTTTACAGCAGGGCTGATAGCATCTGAGTATGTTATTTTAAACTGGTAAGATTTTTATTAGCTTTTAAGTAATATTAATTGGCGTTGTTTCTTTTCTTTTCCTTTTCTTCTAATTTCAGTGAAAGTAGAACCTGTTCCCGCAATTAGCCATGCCACGCTAGGCGCTGCTAGCCGGATCATTCAGCCATCACAGCCCACCCCTGTCCAGACGGTCACCATCGTACAGCAGGCACCTCTAGGCCAACACCAGCTACCAATAAAAACTGTAACGCAGAACGGGACTCACGTGGTGCCAGTCCCCACCGCGGGCCACGGCCCGGTGAACAACGGTAAGAAACCGCGGCTCCCCGAGAGGAGGCATTTGGTGTTTTGGTTCTGTTAGTTTTAGTTTTGTCTCTGAGGAGATGTTTGTGTTTCCAGGCTGCGGGAAATCTAATACCGCTGCCGTTACTAGGCGAACTAGGAGGTGTTTGTGGGAGCCGCTGTTGTGGACCCCACTGGAGAGATGCGCGCTTCCCACTCCCCGAGAGAGAAACACCCTCGACTTCTGTAGATAGCTGGGTGTGGGCTGGCAGCAGCCCGAAATCCGACAGTAGGACGTGACTTCAGGGTCCCCTGTGTCGGGCCGGGACGCAGTGCCAGCGCTGCTCTCCTGGGAGCGCCTTTGCTCAAGGGTGTTGCTGACGGTGGGAGCAGAGAATGCTGCTCCGCTGCCCTGTGCTCTGAAAGCCCTTTGGAGGCCGCGCAGGTAAGGCCACGAGTGTCCCCCGCGGACGGTGGGAGGACAGCCGCTGCCTCAGCACGGCGACCCGCCTCCACCCCGCCCTGCGGAGCTGCGCAGAGGTCAGAGTCCCAAGTGATGCAGGAGTTTAGGGTCTTCAGAGCCGGTGCTGAAAGGCTTCGCCAGCAGCGGCCCACTCCAGCTGTGTGCAGCCTGCTGTGTCATGCGACAGGTGTGGGCTGATCCCTGCACCTGCAGGACCTCAAGGAGTAGCATCAGAGGCTCCCGACCCAACGAGACACTCTGTGCCACATGGTGCTCTCTTTAAAAGAGGGTAGCAGGCCGGGTATGGTTGCTTTCACCTGTCATCCTAGCATTCTGGGAGGCCGAGGTGGGAGGATCACTCGAGGTCATGAGTTTGAGACCAGCCTGAGCAAGAGCGAGACCCCGTCTCTACTCTAAGTAGAAAGAAATTAATTGGCCAACTAAAACTACATAGAAAAAAATTAGCCGGGCATGGTGGCACGTGCCTGTAGTCCCAGCTACTTGGGAGACTGAGGCAGGAGGATCGCTTGAGCCCAGCAGTTGGAGGCTGCTGTGAGCTGGGCACTCTAGCTCGGGCATCAGAGTGAGACTCTTGTCTCAAAAAAAAAAAAAAAAAGGAGGGTAGCAGTCAGTTACCAGTTTAAAATGCCTTTTCCTCAGGCCTGTGTCCCCTCAGGCCTTGTTCTGCTTTTCTCTGGATAACCGACTCTGGCCCCGTGCGGTCCAGGGCAGCCGGCTGGGAGCCCCGCGGCAGCTGGGTGTAGATTGGAGGCGGAGGCCCTGGTCACTCTTCCAGCGTCGAGGCTTGTGGCGCAGGCGGCCAGGAGCTCCCGAGGTCGAGGGGGTCCCTGCCGCCTGGGGAGTGCCCCCATTTTCCACCAGACAGGCCCGGCGGGTGGGGGCCAAGGACGTCATGCCCACCACATCAGGGCTGCCGAGAGCCACCGGCGCAGTCGGAGGCCTTGCTTCTAGAAGGAGTTTGAAGACTGCATTCCTTTCACGTATCTAAGTGGGAAACTAAAATGTTTCAGTCTATTAATAAATTTAAACAAGGGTTTTAATTTTCCACTATTGAAAGTGTTGGTGTTTTAAAGTGAAAGCTTTTACTCCATTATTTCAAATGTCCTCCTGGGCTCTAAGTCAGCTGTGACTAGACCCACAGCAGCCCCCGCACCCCGTCCTTGGGCTGGCCCCGGCACGCGCTCCCATGGACCCTGCGAGTCGCGTGCGTCCTTTGTGGTCAGGTGCACTGATCCTGTCTTTCCACTATAACAATAAAATAGATATAAAATTGCACATTTTTTGCAGCTAGAGAGAAAAAATACTGATACAAATATTAAGATGTATTTGTGAGTAAAAAGATTGACTTATCTATTATTACTACAGAATTGATCAAAATCAAAAATGTAATAAATTCTATAAAAACACAAATTAAATTTTTAAAGTTTTTCTCAAGATGTATTGCTTACTATATCAAGACTTTAAAGAAAACGCTTGTAATCCCAGCACTTTGGGAGGCCAAGCTGAGAGGATCGCTTGAGCCGAGGAGTTCAAGACCAGCCTGGGCAGCCTAGTGAAACCCCACCTCTACAAAAAATTTTTTAAAAATTAGCCAGGCATGGCAGTGGCACCTGTAGTCCCAGCTTTTCAGGAGGCTGAGGCAGGAGGACTGCTGGAGCCCAGGAGTTAGAGGCTGCAGGGAGCTGTGATGACACCACTGCACTCCAGCCTGGGTGACAGAGCGAGACCCTGTCTCTAAAACAAGAAGACAGACAGAGGAGATGCTGAAGCTCCTCCCAGTGACGCGTGAAAGTCACTCCGGGAACTGTTAACGAGTGACGTTAGCTGGTCTCTCAGTGGGAAGTCCTGCTGACTAGTTTGGTTGGCATTTTTGACTCAGAAACCACTTGGTTTGAGAAAGGATTTATTTCCAGGAGTTGATAACTGAGCTTCGCAGCACCAGTGTATTCCGACATTCCTTTGTCTCCTGCTCCCTCCCGAGGCGGTGGAGGGAGGCTGTGGAGGAAGAGGAGGTGGTGGGTCGGCGCTAAGGAAGAGCCATCGCGTCGCAGCGCACCTGGAGTGGCTCTCCTCAGCGGTGTCGGTACCTGGTGTGAGGGCCACGCCTTGGGTGACCCGAATTCTCACCTCCTTCCCTGTTGAGAAGGGAAAGTGGTGTCTGTAGTTGTTAGCACATTTTGATAATCAGAAGCTCGGCTGTTTATTTTATTTCTCTTTTTGAGACAGGGTTTTGCTCTGTTGCCCTGGCTCAGGGCAGCCTCCAACTCCTGGGCACAAACGATTCTGCCACCTCGGGCCTCCCAAAAAGCTGGGACTACAAGCCTGTGCCACCACACCCGGCTGATTTTCTTATTTTTTTGTAGAGACAGTGTCTTGCTATGTTGCCCAGACTGGTCTCAAACGCCTGGCCTCAAGTGATCCTCCTGCCTCAGTCTCCCTAGTAGATGGGACTACAGATGTGTGCCACCACGCCCAGCTACTTTTTAAAAAATTTTTTTAGAAACAGGATATCACTGTTTTGCCCAGGCTGGGCTCAAACTCCTGACCCCAAATAATCTTTCTGCCTGGGCCTCCCAAAGTGCTGGGATTATAGGCATATGAGCTACCATACCTGGCCAGGATTCTCTTTGAATAGATAAGCAAAATGCTGTCATTATACTTTTAAAAATCAATAACAATTCGTTTATACCCAGTAGCTCATTAGGGTTCAAATTATTGATTCTTTTTTTTTTTTTTTCAATTGAGGTGAAATATACATAACATAAAATTTACTGTTTTAACTCTTTCAAAGTTTACAGTTCATTGATGGTAAGGACATTCACAATGTTTTGAAGCCATCACATCTATCTAATTAAAAACATTTTCAAATCCCAAGAGGGCACCCACCCCAGTAAGCAGCCGCCCCTATACCCTCCTCCCCGAGGTCTCTGGGAACCTCTGACCTGCCGACTCTCTCTGGATTCGCCCGTCCCGGCCCTGTCCTATGCATGGAGCCATCGTATCTGTGTCTTTTCCTGTCTGGCTGCTTCTGCTTTGCATGACATGTCTGAGGGTCACCATGTCATAACTTTTATCAGTACTGCATTCATCTTTGTGACCAAATACTTTTAACATGCTGTGTGTTCAGTCCTCAGTTTGTTTCTGCAGTTAGGCCATTGCCAGTCGTGTTGCTAGAACATTCACGCACGAGTATTTGCTTGACTCCCTGTCTCCATCTCTTTTGGACCTAGGAGTGGAATTCCTGCGTCATGTGGTAAATCTGTGTTTAGTTTATTGGGTAACCACCAAACTTTCTCACAGCAGGGGGACTTTTTCACATTCCTGTTAACAATGGGGTTCCTATTTTTCCATTTTCGCTTGTGGACAAACAACACTTGTTCACTTCCTATTTGTTTTCTGTCACGATCATTTCGGTGTCGTGGGCATGAGGTGGTGCCTGGTGGTAGCTTTGACTTGCGTGTCCTGATGACCTGTGGTGTTGGGCGTCTGGTCCTGCGTCTGCTGGTGGTTTGAATGTGCCCTCTGCAGAAATGTCTGTTTAGGTCCGGTGCCATCTTTTAATTTGGGTGTCGTAGCTCTTTGTTTTGGAGTTGTAGGATTTTTATGTGTTCTAGGTACTAGACTCGTATCAGACAGATGGTGTACCTCAGAGACACTGTGGGTTTGGTTCCAGACCACCACAGTAGAGCAGGCCACACCGGTTTTTGGTTTCTCGGTGTATATAAAGGTTGCATTTACAGTGAACTGTAGGTTTTTTGGTTTTGGTATTTTTTGAGACAGTCTCGCTTTGTTGCCTGGGCTAGAGTGCCGTGGCGTCAGCCCAGCTCACAGCAACCTCTAACTCCTGGGCTCAAGTGATCCTCCTGCCTCAGCCTCCCGAGTAGCTGGGACTACAAGCATGTGCCACCATGCCCGGCTAATTTTTTCTATATATTTTTAGTCGGCCAATTAATTTGTTTCTATTTTTAGTAAAAATGGGGTCTCGATTTTGCTCAGGCTGATCTCGAACTCCTGACCTTGAGTGATCCTCCCGCCTCGGCCTCCCAGGAGCTAGGATTACAGGCGTGAGCCACCATGTACCGTAGTTTTTTTACGTGCGTACTAACACTGTGTTTAGGAAAACAATGTACATACCTTAATATAAAAATACTCGCTGACACTGCTAGCTGTGGGGAGGGGGTTGCGGAAGGTGAGGTGGCTGTGGCGATTTTTGAAAATAAGAAAGTAGAGTTGCCACGTTGATTGACACTTCCGTTCACGAGAGATTCTTCTGTGGCATGCTATGGTGTTTGATAGCATTTTACCCACAGTGGAACTTCATTTAAAATTAGAATTAACCCTTTCAAACCTTGCTGCTGTTTTTTCCACTAAGTTTATGTAATATGCCAAATCTTTTGTTGTAATTTCGACAGTGTTCACAGCGTCTTCACCAGGAATAAATTCCCTCTCAAGAAACCACTTTCTGGCTGGGCACAGTGGCTCACGCCTGTAATCCCAGCACCCTGAGAGGCCGAGGCAGGAGGATCGCTTGAGCTCAGGAGTTTGAGACCAGCCTGAGCAAGAGCAAGACCCTGTCTCTACTATAAATAGAAAGAAATTAGCAAAAACAACTAAAAATAGAAAAAAAATTAGCTGGGCACAGTGTCACCTGCCTGTAGTCGCAGCTACTCGGGAGGCTGAGGCAGGAGGATCTCTTGAGTCCAGGAGTTTGAGGTTGCTGTAAGACAAGCTGACGTCACGGCACTCTAGCCATCCTCCTGCCTCAGCCTCCTGAGTAGCTGGGGCTGCAGGTGCCACCGTGCCCAGCTAATTTTTAAAATTTTTTTGTATTAATGGGATATCACTATGTTGCTCAGGTCTCTGATTGGTTTTTATGTCATCTTGTGTTCTGTGATGTTACCGATTACACTTAACCCAGGTCCTGGTGAGAGTGAGGCTCAGGCTGTTTCGGGGTGCCACACAGCTGCATCCCGCCCCCCCATCCTCCCACTGGTGTCAGGCTCTGGGCCTCTTCCTCAGCCCAGTGTCCTGCTTTAGGGTGACCACACGCGACCTCCCTTCGTGCTCACTATTTACCCATCAGTGCATCTCTCCTGGCGTCTCTGTCACTTGGGGCAGGAGGAGAAGGGAACCCCGAGTGAAGTTGAACCCCCATGCTGCCGAGGGGGGCTGAGCGTTTTCAGGGGGAGCCGCTCTCCTGCCCAGGTCCTGGCTGGATCCAGAGGCAGAAATAACGGAAAGCTCACACTGCAGAGCCATAGGAAGCACCTCCAGGAGGCAGTCAGGCTGCGTCTGGAATCCCGAGACAGGACTCGGGTGGCCTGGGGACCGTCATGGCCACCCCCAGACCAGGCGCAGCACGGTTTCTGTCTGCTGCCCTGCTCGGGCACCGAGCCAGCCGAATACCCGGAGCTGGCTGGGCCCACGTCCACCCTGTCGGGGAGGAGCCACCCACGCAGGTTAGGCCCGTGACGGGGCACCCCTCGGAGGACAGATAGGTGCTGCCACGCTAGTGCCTGCGGCCGGGCGGGCTCAGCCCAGATGGGGCAGCAGCAGGGCAGAGGGCGCTGCAGAGCCGGGAGCAGGGTTTGCGCTGTTTGTGGTTGTGTCTGGCGCGGTGGTCGCGTTTGACGGGTCCCCCTGTAGGTGTGTCCACGCTGGGGTGTCTGTCACAGCCTGAAGGACCGAGGCTCCGCAGCGGGGCCCAGGCCCACCCGGGGCAGCGTGTCCAGGCTCCCTCCCCAGGGCACTGCATGTTGGCTCCTGGGCCCGAGGCTGCAGAAGGTGGCTTGGGAGGTGTGTGCGGTCTGGGTCGTCCGGCTGAGAAGCGTCCTCTGACGAGACGGTGGCGCACTCCACAAGCACCACCGCCTGCGCCTGGGGCTGGAGGCGGCAGGGCCCCGTTGGCGCCTGCGCCTGGGGCTCCAGGGAAATGGGGCCTGGAGCCAGCGGGCGTGGGTGGAGAGGTCAGGACAGAGGCACAGTGTCTGGCTGAGAGGTCACGGAGCGTGCCCACTTGCTCGTGGGGCTGCCACGTGGGGAGTCTGCTGGGGCCGGAGATGCGAGAAGAGTTGCCCTGCAGCTGGGGGGGGGGCGGGAGGGGCAGTTCTGCCCCCTCTGTGACCTCGGCCTTTCCCAAGTCCCTCAGCGACTGGACGAGGCCCACCTAGCCATGGGTGGTGATCTTAGAGTTTACTGATTTGAGTGTCATCTAAAAAAAACACCTGCACGAAACATCCAGAATAATGTTTGACCAGATACCTGGGTGCCGTGGCTCTACCAGGTTGACACGTAGCATACCTCTCAGCATCGCAGTTGTAAACTTGGCCTTTACGATCATTAATGGTGATTGGCGGTGCAGACTCCTTCCTTCCTGTTGTCCCTCCACCCACCTGTGTGCCGACCTGGCCGAGCAGGTGAGCAGCACCTGTGGGGAACTCGGTGCTGCTCTCCCACAACCAGAGCGAGCCGTCCTGCTCCTGTGGGTGGGATGAGCCAGAAGCGTCCCCTGGGGTGGGGTGTGAGGGCCCCTCTGTTGGCGGGGAGGGGACGTCTGCAGCTCCGCGGCTGCGACAGCAAGGCCATTTCCTGGCTGTCACAGCAGGTGCTAGGGAACAGAAGCAGCCGCCACGCCGGTGGTCGACCCGCTGCGGTGCCTTGTGCCCGTGGGGTGTCAGCGGGCTCTGCGGGCTTGGGGGCGCGGGGGTCCCCACGGGGTGCGGCTTCAGCCGGAGCGGGCCCTGACTCACTTTCTCTCCGCAGCGGCGGCGAGCCCTTTGCACATGCTGGCGACCCACGCGTCGGCCTCCGCCTCCCTGCCCACCAAGCGCCAGGGCGGCGACCCACCGGAGCAGCCGGAGCTGAAGCGGATCAAGACGGAGGACGGCGAGAGCATCGTCATCGCCCTGAGCGTGGACGCGCCGCCGGCTGCCGTGAGGGACAAGGGCGTCCAGAACTAGTGACGGGAGAGCTTTTCTTCCAAGTGTCAGCTTTGTGGTGCCAAAAGGAGACGCTGCCTCTCACCGGCGCGCGGCGCCCGGTAGGCAGGGCCTGCGGTTGGACTTCGCCTCTCAGCACTGAAACACAGAACCCAGGCGGCCTTACAACTCCTCGATCAGAGACAAGTCACACTTGAGCAGCCACACGCAACACAGCTGGCCGGCACGGCGCCTCTGAGCCAGCACTCGCTGCGCCGCCGCCTCGGGCGCAGCTTTTAACTGCGCGGAAGAGCTCACGGTCCTCCGCACGGCGGGCTCCTCCGCGTGGGGACGGCGCGGCCGTCGGCGCCAGGTGCAAACGGACCCCCGGCACGGGCCCCGGGGCCAGGCAGGACCCCGGACCCAGCACTGGCGCCGGGAGGCCGGACGGCGTCTGTCCTGCTCACGCGGAGTAGGGTGTCTCGAGGTTACTTTCTCTACAAAGTAATGGGGTCTCTGACATTTCACATCACTCCATTTCTGCTCTGGAAACTGTGGAATCGCACAGAACTGTTGGTGTGGATTTCATTTGGGGAAAAGGAACAGCATAGTTTTGTGTTCTGTTGTCTGTTTTCAGCCCACGGAATGATTTGCTTTGTCCTGTTAAAGCTCGGACGGAGCGCCGGCCGGCAGCTGCAGCCGCCGGTGTGAGCGCAGCCGCCCGACGGGCTCACCTCCTCCCGGTGCGCAGGGCGGCGCTGCGGCTGCGACTCCAGGGACAGGCCCGGGACGGGACGGGCTGCCGGCTCGCCCCGCCACACTTACTGTTACCTTTCCTGCTACTTTCTGTTGTTTGTTTCTTTGTGTTGACTTTGTCCCTGGCAAAATATTTTCACTCTGAGTAAAACCAGTCTCCTGAGTACCGTGTGTGTGTGAAACGCAGAGCCACCACCGCTGCGCTGGAGACAGCCTCGCCACGCGCCCGGCGCAGAAGGGCCACGCTGTCTCCGCGCACCTGTGGTCCCGCCAGCAGGTGTCCCTGCTAGCTGCAACGGCGCCCGGCCAGCGTCCGCCCGACCGCGTTGCCGTCTTCCCTCCTCGTGGCCAGTCCCTGGCGGGGGGGCAGGGTGGAGCCGCGTGCTGTCACCCCCGGGGACTGAGCGAGGCCCCCAGGGAAAGTGCTGGAAGCATGTGGGTCGCCTTCCGATTTGCAGCGGAGCTTCCCTACCTTTCAGAGCGGACCCCAGCACGGCCGACCGCCCTGCAGGGGTGAGGGGAGCGGGAAGACGCGGGTGGGGGGGAGGCAGGGGCCCCACACGGCCGCAGCCCGGCTCCTCAGGAAGAAAACCTGCTTTCCGAGCGCGCCAGGCTGGGCCGAGCAGAGTGTGAGCAGAAAGGGCTCCAGCCTTATCGTGGACTTTCAATGTCATCATCATAACGTTATTTATTTAAATGTAGTTATTTTGGTATTTAATTTTTTTTTAAAGAGGAAAAAAAAAACCTGTATTTTCCTGGTGGAATGAAACAACTCAGAATGGTATATTTAGGCAATTTTAAAACATTTATTATTTACATAAAGACCAAATATGATAAATCTGTTCTAAGTATTGTGTGTCAATCCACAGAATGGGGCTGTCACGATGTCACTGCAGATGCATATGGAAAAGTATGGAATTAGTGCACACTAGCTGGATCATAACTCAGCCGTTTTAAAAATAAAAGTGAAACCGTCACTCGAGTGCGCCCGTGTGTGTGACCGTGGCAACCGTGGCCGGCAGAGCGGGCGTTCTGTCCTCTCTCCCAGGAGGTTTGCGGTTTGCAAAGTGGCCTGGACTGCGCTGTGTCCTGTGTGTGGGTCGGGTCGCGCCAAGAGCGGTCCAGGCCGGTCGGTGGCAGCGCAGGGAGACCAGCCCTCGCTCCGTCGCAGGCGGGCGGGGACACGGGCAGGCGCGGCGCCAAGCCAGCGGACCGGCCCCCTGGACTCGCGTTGGCACCGCGGCGCACGCCGGCCTGCAGGACCCGAGCCTGTCGTCCGCTGCTCCCTCCCGAGGGAGCGTCCGCCCACCGGGATCACAGGTAAGGAGAACGCCCTGCTCTCAGACGTCGGACAGGGAGGCGGCCGCGAGGCGTGGGCCGAGAGGCACCCCCTCCCTCTGGCGCCCAGACCCACGAGCGCCTTTCCAGGCTGGCACCGGCTGCCTCGGGCTGCGGGAGGGTGAGAGCGCCCGGGTTTTCTCGCCAGTCTTTACTGTCCTTATATTTTGGGTTTAGCTCTGACCTCCCCAGGCCCTCCGCATGCCGTTGCCGGCAGAGCCGTTGCCGGTGCAGCCCTGGCGGCGATGCCTGGCCCCCGCCGGGCCGCCGGGAGACGTCCTGTCCCCCGTGCACCGTGGGCGGCAGTGAGCTCCAGCTCTCCCCGGCAGTTCCTCCGTGTCTCACTTCCGAGAAGTCTCTGACCTTTGCCAAACTTCTGGGCTCCTCAGGGACCGGAAACTCAATTTCAGCAGCTTTGTCCTGAGCCAGACAAGAACACGGAAGGGAAACTGACACTTGGCCCAGACTGCAGTGCATTCCAGAGCGCACGTGGCCGGGCTATGGTCGGTCTTCTCTCCTTCGCGTAGCACGCCTGTGGGCAGCCGACTGTTTGGTCACTGTCCTCGGCTAGAGTAACGGTAGCTGGTGGTCTTGGTCAGGGGCGTGGGGCACGGCGTCAGGACTCAGGGTTTCTGTGCTGTGGGGCACGCGGGGAGAAGTGACAGCCTTGAAGTCCTAACTGCCACTATTCTAGAAAGTAAAGTGGTGATCTGTGTACAAAGATTTTAAATTTTAAAATGCACCAAGTTCCTGAAACTCAATAAAATATTTTTTTTAGTTTTAATTGAATACAGAGTATCACTGTCATTTTGATACACTTGGAGATTTCTGTTTGGCTTTTTAACACCCTGCTCTCTTCTGAGCACACCGTAGGCCTAGAGTATTGGAGAGAGTTTGCCAAGGAGCTGCCCTGATGCCAGCCGCGTAGGCTCTGCCCGTAGAACGGGGAACTGAGCGTTTGCGAGGGAAAAAGCCGCCGAGTCGCAGGGAGTGGTAACACAGACTGGCTGATTTTACCTGTAGTTTTGAAAGTTAGTTTGAAGAGTGAGACCCCATCTCTACAGACGATTTTAAAATTAGCTGGGCGTGGTGGTGCACACCTGTAATCCCAGCTACTCAGGAGGCTGAGGCAGGAGGATCAGTTGAGCCCAGGAGTTTGAGGCCAGCCTGTACAACACAGTGAGACCCCGTCTCTTTAAAAATTTATTTTGAAATTGTGGTTGTTGATACCATTTCTTCTGCAGACTTGCCCTTTGTCCTGAGGATCCAGATCATGGCAAGCACCTTGCTTGATGTGTTTTCTCCTGAGATGAGAAAGAAACCCTTCTGAAGAGGTGTGTGGGTCTTCAGGTTCCCAGACAGCAAGACTTCGATGTTCCCGCCGCTGGGAACCCTGGTGTGGACCCAGCGCCCTGGCACGTGCCGAACATACCGCGACTGACCCCGGGGTCGTAGGGGAAGAAGCAGTACTGAAAACCGTGACCCGGAGGTCCTTTGGGATCTAAACGAACCTAAAATTCAGTGTTCACGGAGAGTCCGCGCTGGAGTAGTCCTTTCCCTAAACCGCTGCCTTAATTTAAAAGCAGTTTGCTCACGTTGGCGCAAAAGAACTGCGTGTTTCGCGCATCTGTGCCGAGAGGAGCAGCACAGCTCTCGTCAGGGCCATGGTGCGGGTCGTGCCAACAGCTGCCTGGACACGGGCCACGATAACGTCCCTGTCTCAGGAGAAGCCGTCGGGGTCACTGCTGAAGTCACACTGAGCCACGGCGGAGGTGACAGCTGCCCCCGAGGACAGCCTGGCTGTGTCCAAGGAAGAGGGAAGGTGAGTGGCAGAGGCCTTCGGGCACGGGGGCCATTTGGTGGCTCTGGGGCGAGGTCTTCGGTGTGGCCAAAACCTGCTGTTACCTCGGGGAGGCCGCGGGCAGGGGGCCACACCCCTGGCTGACGAGGACGTCCCAGCGCGGCAGGAGTCTGCCCGCGGTCACCGTGCGGGGGCTCGGGCTGACGTGGAGGCAGATGAAAGAAACCACAGCACGTCATGACGTGAACTTCACCCGCGGGGCCTCGGCGGCCGAGCTGTGCCGGATCAGCACGCTGCGTGGGTCCCTTCCCGTGCGCACGTCCCCGGCAACACAGAACTGGAATTTAAAGTGCGTCCCAGGCGACTCTGATAAGTGTACTTACGGGGTGCCAGTGGGTGGACCCCACTCTGTGCCCCCCAGTGCGTACGACTGTCTCAGTCCAGGGGCAAGGAAGTAACATGTGAACGAGTCGTAGGCAGATCAGGGCGGGGCGATGACCACCAGAAGAACCACCAGCACGGTGACGAGTCTCCCTGAATTCTCTTGCTCTCATACTGCCCGGCCTGCACGGGGACCGCCCGGGTGTCAGAGACGCCCTCTCCCTCATCTGGGCAGAGGTCTGGGAAGGGGGCGTCCGTGGGCGGCCGCACCCCTGCAGGCAGCAGGCTCGCGGACCCTGGGCACTCGGTTGACCCTTTGCTCTGAGGAATTGGGGAGCGGAGCACCCACAGTCCAACGAGGACAGAGAGAAGCCCTGCTTCACGTTGGCCCCGGCCGGGCCCAGCCAGCAGCCAGGCCTGCGCAGGGAATCTCCAGGCCGAGCGTGTTGACCAGAGGGCGAGTGGCAGTGGGGCCGGAGGAGGGGGGTGCACAACAGAGGGGAGGCTGTGCCAGCCACACGCCTGGGGCCCACCCGTGAGGCGCTGAGGCTCTGAGTTGCTCAGCCGGCACGGCGCTGCGACAGGGCAGACCTGGATCGCACTGCAGATTGGGAAACCGAACAACGAGGCTCTCTGCCCGATGAACGAAACCGTCAACATTCCCCCGAGGGGTTGATAGGAGTCCAAGCCGCACAGCGTGCAGAATGCCCAGGGTAAAAATTAACGTAGGAAGAGCCAGAAAAACAGCCCTACAGGGAACAGCACTGATGTCAAATGCAACATGACGCAAATGTTGGGGATATTGGAGAAAGAACAGTTATCTCAACCGTGGTCAGGAGTAAGAGCAAATCCTCCTGAAACGAACCAAAAGTTACAGAACTTAAAGATAACTGAAGTGAAAAATTCAGTGGATAGACTTCAGAAAAACAACTGGAAATAAAAATGAACCAAGCCTCAGGGACCTGTGAGATGGCACCAGAGGGTCCAACCTATGTGTCACTCAGTTCCCAGAAAAGGGAGAGAGAAAGACATTGATGTAAAAAAATTTTTGAAAAATGATATTTTAAATAAATACTTTAACTATTTTAAATATTTCAAAACCTAAATGTAAAGATTCGTGAAGCTCAGTCAACTCCAAATAAGGGAAACTTAAACCATGTTGAGACAGTCAACTGCAGAAAAGTGAAAAGATTTTTTATCTTGAAAGTAGTTAAAAAGGAAATTGACTTACACAGGTTGGCAAATCAAAAATCTGACAAATAAAAAATCAAAAATGCTCCCAAAATCCAAAACTTCATGGGTGTCAACATGCTACCCAAAGAAAATGCTCATTGGAACATTTTGGATTGTAGATTTTCAGATGAGCGATGCTGAACTGGTAAATTTAATGCAAGTATTCCAAAATCCATATTTTTCCAAAACACGTAGAGGATAACAGTGATTCAGATAACTACAGATTTCTTTTTTTTTTTTTTTTTTTTTTTGAGACAGAGTCTCGCTTTGTTGCCCAGGCTAGAGTGAGTGCCGTGGCGTCAGCCTAGCTCACAGCAACCTCAAACTCCTGGGCTCAAGCGATCCTTCTGTCTCAGCCTCCCAAGTAGCTGGGACTACAGGCATGCGCCACCATGCCCGGCTAATTTTTTCTATATATATTAGTTGGCCAATTAGTTTCTTTCTATTTATAGTAGAGACGGGGTCTCGCTCTTGCTCAGGCTGGTTTCGAACTCCTGACCTCGAGCAATCCGCCCGCCTCGGCCTCCCAGAGAGCTAGGATTACAGGCGTGAGCCACTGCGCCCGGCCCAGATTTCTTAACAGAAACCATGAACGCTGGGTGACTGGAAAGATTTTTTGAAAGGGCTGGAAGAAAATTGCTAATCTATAGTATTAACATCCATCAAAAATATCAGGAACGTTGGCTACAAAAGATATTCTTAGATGAAGAAAAACAAAACTTCTTCCCCAGTAAAGCTGCTGAACAAGAAATGCTAAAGGAAGTTCAGGCGAAAGCAGAATAAACTTGCAACTTCAGGAATGAAGAAAAGAGCAACAGAAATGGAAAGCATCTGGGTAAATACAATAAACTAATTTTCTCTCTTAAGTTCTTTAAAATATGTATGACTTTCCAAAGCAGAAACTATGACTTGTCCTTTAGGATTTCAGGGCATGTAAATGTAACACACATAGACAAAGTTACAAAAGACGAAGCTAAGTCTGTAAGGTCTGCATTTCACTTGAAGTGGAAGCAGACTGTGAAAGTTAGCATTGTTTATTGTACTCTCTGGTGCAATCACTAATGATACCTATCAAAGTTAAAAAGTTAATGGGTAAATTAAAATGGAATGCTAAAAAGAATTTCAAATAATACGCAGTAAGGCAGGAGAAAGGAAACAAAGGTGGGAGAAAAAACAGAAAAAAACAACATGATAGAACATCTTCAATAATGACATTAAAAGAGACTGTC